TATATATATATATATATATATATATATATATATATATATATATATATTACTCTAATAACTCCGGTTACCGCGAGTATTTTACTTTGCGGTTGCTCAATCTCAGCACTGACACGACATGATACTATTATATGTACCGGGGGCAAGTGAAACCGCACGAGTTGCTGACATGTACGCTATGAGTTAGCGTAAGGTTCAATTGCAAGGTGCTTATGCGAGTTCATTCATATTTTTCATTAAATATTTTATTCTTACATACTTTCATTGAAATTTAATCGAATTATAGTTATAATGAAATTAACGGATAAGCTAACAATTTTTTTTTAATTTTATAACAGGTAAATTAGTATGATAAAAAAATTAATAAAAAATTCCACGAAAATATTTTTGGGGAAATTATTTCTTTAAAATATCCTTTTATAATAAATTAATTTGTTGTAAAAGTTCTAAAAATAATTAAGTATTTTGATAAAAAAAAACCCCAAAAATTATGTTTTTATTAGAAAATAAATTTTTTTTTGTTTAAGTTCTTAATGATTTTTAAAATTAAAAAATTCTAAAAAATCATATGTTTAAATATTTATTTGATTTAAAATAAATGACCAATAATTTTATTTCTCATAAATTTTTTTCCAGATATTTCAATTTAATTTTTCCAAATAGGATGTGCATATAAAATTTTTTTAGTTAACCCATCCGGCCGAAATTTATTAACTTTCTACCACATTACATCCCACAAAAAAGACACAATTTAATTCAATAATTTCGTCTGGCGAGTAATTCTTGACGTGATGTTTAATGAAAATCTGGATCGTAATCGACAGAACTGGCGCAGCAGCTTTTTTCGGTCCCGATGCTACACTGGAATAAATTGAATGCGTGTGTGGAACAAAGACAGCGTTATACTTATAGTAACTCTACCTGTGTGATCGCTCGTTTAACCCTACACTTTAAGTGTCTTGTATTTATTTATTGCTTCCTGTTGACGACAATTGAATTTAATTCGCAGCTCTTCTTTTTGCGGTCCTCTTTTTACTTTCTTAATGACAACAACAATCGCTATCATAATCACAATCACTATCCTCTATCTAAATAAAAAATCGTAATTATAATCATGATAAATTACGCAAACGGAAACTAATGACTTTGAACATGTTAACTCAAAATATAATTCATATCAAAACCACTCCCAAAAATTGTCATTATTCCCACGGATGAAATTTATCAGATTGAAAAAAATAGTTACAGCTGAGTCGAAGAAAATTCCACAAAAATCTTGAGGCTATAATTTTCAAATCAAAAATAAGAAATAATACCTAAAAAAAGTTTTAATAAAAAATATACTTGAGTCGTGTTCCGCTCCAAAGATTACAAAGTTTCAGTTGCCACAAAAAACCACTTTACCTTTTATTTAACATTTTGATATTACTCGACAAAAAATTCTATCTTAATTTAATTTTTTGTTCTACTCGGCTCACCGAATAAAATTCCATCTATATGATGTACGACTGGTATTATAAAAATAAAAATAAATTACGACTGGGACTTCCGTTTTATTTCTACATAATGCGAAATTAATTGGCCCATCGTGACCCCGATACCTTGTCCTTTCGCACGACCTCCATACTTATATCTAATGTGTAATATATAAGTATATTATTTTATTATTTGTATATCAAGCCTAATTAATTTGTATTATTTTTATTAATTTTCAGGTTCAGTAATAGTTTCCGATGTCTCAGAAAATCCATCAGCCGTCGTTACACTGCCGAGTTACGACCCGCAATTTATGGCGCACTGTTACTTCCCCGCAGAATTTCAAGGAGATTTTCTGATGCAAGTAAATGGGCCAGGTGGTAAAGGATCCGCGAATTCCGTCGAACCGATCCAGTACTCGGCTCTGAATATCACTTTCGACTCCATACCTGTCTGGGGGTACTGTCACAAACGAGTCGGAGAAAATGTTTTGCTGGTTGACACGTGAGTAGTTAATTTAAATCTTATGTAAATAAAATACCGTATAATAAAAATAACACTACAAATTATATCGATTCTTATTAATCATCATTACATTTTATTTCTTCACCATTCTGTTCAGTTGTTTATTTATTTACCTTTTTAATCTTATCTAAACAAAGCGACCCTCGTCTATCTCAATCAATTACTTTTGATAGCGCTATTTTATTCCATCAAATATAATAAAACGTTATATGTTACGCATAATAATAAAAAAAAAAATAATGATGATAAAATAGAAAAAGCTTTTATACGAAAACAGATTGATTGATGGGTTGGAGTATTTAATATTTTAAAAATTGCGAGGAAGCATTTAACAAATTTTTTTATTAGCTAACAACACTAAAGGCTTGATGATTTACGCAATCAATAAATAATCTCCGATTATTGCTTACACATTTTTTATCTTTTACATATATGTAGCTATCTATAACTCTCATATATATCTATGATAATATTTTTCTCTGTAACGTGCCATCAGTATATATTATATATAAGCTGCTTTGCTGCCCATTTTTTGCCGACTCCCAAATGCTTCAATTTATTTTTTTTAATCCTCATCTTTTTTTATTCGCAAGGTACTTAAAATTTTTTCATCAAAATATCTCATTTATAGTTTCGATCAACACTTTTTTATATTATTTTATCGGCACATTCCGAGCGATTTTAAATTCTCGGGCCGGAATTCCTTACACCCGAGTCGATAGGCGAGATTAGAAGACATTTCAAATTTATAGTCCAGTAAATTTTTTACTTGATTGGTGAAAATAACTTTTTTTCTTCAATATTATTGAAAAAAAATATAGAATTATTATAATAAATTTTTTTAAAGTCCACAAATTCAGTATGAAAAATTTTGAGTGAAACACAATTTAATTTTCTATATAATAAAAGTCGTATTTTGAGATTATTAAATTTATAATAAAAAAAAAAGAATAAAACAGACAATAATTCATTATAATTACCTAAATGAATTTTATAATTTTATTTTGCTTTATTATAATTATAATTATAATTTTGCTTTAATTTGAACAAAACAATCTTTGTTACTAATTATCAAATAATTATTTAAATCTGGTGCTGTCAAACTAACTTAATGGCTGTATAACAGCATCACTTGGCAAATTATCAACTTAATGGTGTTAATTATGTGCAATTGCTACAACTTTTATAATAATAATATAATAATATAATAATATAATAATTTTTTTTTCTTTTTAATTTTATCAATCACTATTATTTTTTGTTTTTGTTTGCAATTGCTAACACATCAATGCTCTACTCATTTAGCAATCTATCTATTAAATTTATAATTAATATTAATATTAATATTCTATTAAATATGAAATCACTATGCTAGCTGTAAGTCATCTTGCTATACATCAAAAATTGTTTTTTTATATACTAACTGTTGTATTATTAACCCTGTTAATGGCCCTTTGGCTGTTGGGTTTGTTTATTTAAATAAAATAAAATAATGAATTAAAAAAAAATTTTAATAATATTTAGTAAGGTACCGACGGGTAATTAAATGGAAAATTTCCGATTTGATCAACAAGTTTTCATGTTTACATTATTCAAGTATATTTTCTTTAAAATAATAAACAAAGAATGATAACTTTTACCAAAAGCAAAATAACATTAAATATTTGAAAAAAAAATCTTATAATTGAGCCTTATTTTATTTTAATTGAATAATATCAGCCTACTTAAAATAATTAAATAGTTTTAACATATTTAGTATTTAAAATCAATATGAAACTATTATTTTGAAGCTAAAATTTTTTCGTTAATATTTTCTATAAAATATTGTTAAATAATAATTAACATCAAAATTAGTCTTTAGAATTTTTTACAAAATTTACACTTTTCAATTATTACAATAAAAGACTAATAATTAACCTAAAATAATTAAAAAAATACATATTTTAACGTCTAAACAATAATTTTATCACTTTTTAACTTACTCAGAAAGAAAAAAATTTTTAACTCGAGGATAAATTTTCTTAGCTTAAAAAAATATTAAAAATTTCCTAAATGAAGTCAAATTTTCTTAATCCAAAAAATTCTTGCTCCAAAATAACTTTGGCTTTTCTTAAAATTTTTTTTCTGTGTACAGAATAAAAAACAAACTAGACGTTTATTTAAAAATACAAGATGACATTTCAAATATACGATTTGATTACCGGCACTTAATTTCCTATCAAGACATAAAACGTTACATTAAAAAAGCAAATGAAGAAGTAAAGTAGTTAATAATTGACATTGATGTGACAAGCAGCAACCATTGATAAAATAAAAATAATAAAATCCAACAGGACCGCAGAAGGGCAATGCATCAGGTGTTTCCGGTTGAAGCGAAGATCCCGCAATATCATTGAAGTCTTCTCAGAAGACCTCAACAGGTGCTACACATACGAGGACATCGCAATAGCTTCTTGCGACAAACTCACCTCCAGATCCGTCCTCTACCGTAAGTAAAAAAACTGTAGCCTAGACATAGAAAAAATTACAATTAAAAATTATTTATATTTTTTCATTAATGACCACAGTTCATATTTTGAATTACTTTTCATTGCATCTGACAAAAAATAATATAAAACGTAAAGATATTGCTCACAAGCATGTGATGTGAGGAAGCATAGGCGTCCTCATACGCGTGACCTCACGCACGCGCGTCAGCATATGAGCATGGGTTCCTTTTTCTCACGAGTCCATCAATTAAAATACCTGCGTGCGCGATTCCATCCATCCACCATTTGCATAATCACGGCTCGATTATAATCCGATGTGATGCATCCAGTTCAACATACAACATACAACATACATTGTTAAGTTCTTTTACCTCAAGGTTATCCGAAGCTATCTGCATTAATTCATATGTATAGTACACTAATAGTACGTACAGTCGTATACATACGTTCAGACATTTCTGTAGTGCATGATCAGATATGATGAATTTTATTCGAATCGCACGTCTAGTAATTTCTTCTTTCAAGTCTCAGCTCACAATTATAATCATTTTTTTAAATTCTCCGCTGGTTAGCTGGTGTGTAATGCAAATAATTATTTTAATTTATCGCATTCGTAAGCCTCCGATATGTTAATCCGGCTGAAGCATACCTGGGAAAATTTTTAATTTTGTTTTAATCTGTGATTGTAATCTGAAGCTTAAATTATTGTTCAGTTTCTCAAAATTTTTCCAGATTGTGATTCGTGTCTTGGAAAATATTAAAATTTCTAAGGAATATAATTATTTCTTACAATATGTGTTATATTAAAAAAAAAAAAATTGAAACCACAGTTCTCAGGATTTAAACTTTTGAAATTCAAATTCATAAAACGCTCTAATTTTGTAATTTTTAGATTAAAATTCTTAATTTTATGCCATTTTTTGTGGAGACAAGGTAAAATGTTTCGGAAGTCAAAATCTCTTGAAAAGTGGAAAAATTCTTGGGACCATTTTTTAAATCTGTAAACTTTTAACTGTTTTTAATTTCAGATGAATTATTCTTTTGAAAATTTTTTGTTTACGTCGCCGGAAAAAATTATGTAATTCTTATGTACTGTAACGAATTGACCCAGTCAAAATACGATGAAAGAATTTTCAACAAGTCTAATACTTCTGCTGAGAGTATTTTCCGGTTGTATTTTATAATAATTAAGTTTTGTCACGACTTTTTTTACTGTTTGGAATTTAAAACTTTTTTTACACTAAATGTTTTAGTTCTTATCTCTAAAATAGTTATACAATAGAGTATTTCTTTTTGTATCTAAAATATTTATAGTAAAATTTACACTCATAAAAAAATTAACTAAATTTAAGATAAAAATTTTGAACGAAGAAAATCATTTTGAATAGAATTTTCTTTTCAGTCAACTTAACTTTTTTTTTTTTTTTTATTGTAAATCTAAAAAATTGATAATAAAATTCTAAATTGTTGATTAAAAATTTTAAAAAAAGTAAAATACACCGAAAAATTAAATATAAAAATTTTAAAATTCACAATTTACTTTCTTCAGACTAAATCGCTGGATTTTAGTTTAAAACTCCTACTCAATACTTTATTGCCATTTAAATACACGGTAGTCACTGTGTAAACACTAAACAGTGTTTAGAAAGTGACTACAACGTATTAAAATCTAAGTAAACACTCAATAGGTGTTTTAAATTAATACATTAGATTTCATAGTAATAATTTGCGGTGATTCGTCAAAATAAATAATAGATAGATAGATAGATAAAAAATTTTATTTGGCTCTGGAGCCTAAGCTCCCTCAAAGCCATCAATATTTAAATTACATTGGTTTACATAGGTTACAAGATAATAATAATAATAATAATAATAACAACATAATTTTGCAAAAATATGAAATAATGAAATAAACAAGATAGTTATCGTTAAGATAGTTTGGTACTGAGCTTATTACAGCAAAATATAGGAACTATTATCATTGGCATACTAAGGAAGGTAGAGATCAGTACAACGAGATCTTGAGAATCTCTTGGAGTTGGATCCAACGAGTTAGTTGTGTTGTTAAAGTATAAGGCACTCCCACGCCTCCAAAGAGAATGCAGAGGCAAGTTAGGGTGCGGCAGGATAAAAAACACGGACGCGAAACTGATGGTATATAAAATAAATGTAGGTAGAAAAGAGTCGACGTGTATAATATAACATTTTATTTCTCTCTATCACTCTGCTCTTGGTCCTCCTCATCCCGGTCGCAGTCATTATTTAACCGACTCTGTGTAGCTTAGAAAAGAAACAGTCATAGCGTTGGTGGTCCTCGAGGGTATTTTGTTGACGCCTTTGAATACTTAAACATTGAACCTCTGGCCAATTGACCATCCAACCGATTCAAACTATTTATTTTTATTTTTGTTTTTTTTTTTTAACATCCTCAGTCCTCATCCTCCGACTGTTGCTTTTTCCCTTTATTTCTCTTTCCTCTTGTTCCTTTTAGTAAACTTTTTGTTTCAGGGAATTAAATAAAAGATCATTGACGGGGAACGCTGATCGTGTTCGTCATGCCCATGGGAATTAAAACAAAGAAAATAAGTAAATATTTATTGCTGCGTTGCGCTTTATTGGTCATTATCATTATCAATACTTTAGTATACTTGTTCACCTGGCCGGTCTTGATGCTTTCGAAGATCCCCGGTATTACTCCGGCAATTCAAACTTCCGCTTCGATAATTATTTCACTTAATAGTCGTACTTACATTTATACTTATATACTTCTATATCTATTATATTATATGAAGTGTATGAAGAAGCTTACTTCCAGTTCGACTTAGATTATTCATTTTTTTAACTGACACTAATTATAATCCACCGTTCGAGGTATATATTTAATTATACGTAGTTTAAAAATTTTAAATGTTGGATAATGTGTTTGTCCAACGCGATGTACTGCAAGCTTAACGGAATTATTATTATTATATGTGAGATTAAATCGTGTGATTTTTAAGACTGATAATCTTTGTGTTCGTTAACAACCTTCAGCTTAAGTTCCGGAGTTCGAAATTTTTTATGAAATTATTTTTAGTTTTTGCAATATTATCCACGTATAGATAAAAGCATCATTTATAATTAATGTACAATTTTTATCAATTAATATTTAAATAATATATTTTTAAATGATTTAATCCTTCCGGGGTGAAGTTCATTTGATATAATCGAAATAAAAAATTCTTTGCATTTTTTACTGAATAAAAAAAAAAAATTGTTGTTATTCGTTTAAAAATTACAAAATGCTTATTTAGAGGTTTTAAAAAGTAATATGGGTGATTCTCTGTAAGGATGTTTTTTGCTATCCCAGGCATTTTTTTATTAGAAAAATTGTTATTTTTTTACTAAAAAAAATTTATTACGAAAGTAAAAAAACATTTCTATTTGGAGCATTGAAAACTAAAATGGAATAAATTTTGGTTTTTTTGCTATAAATTCGTAAACCACCAAAATCTCAGTCCTCTGGGCTGTCCCAAAATTAAAACTTTAAGATTAAATTTTAAGTTATTCGTCCATAATATATAATTTGGTCCATAATGTTTATAAACTTAATTAGTTAACTAACAATCTTCTTCAATAAAAAGTACCGAAAGTTAATTTGTTTCATTAAATTCATTAAACCAAAGTATGTCCCAGACATTTGAGATCAGTCCCCTGCCAAAAGTTCATAGCCAAAAAAAAAAAAAGTCTAGCGTGTTATTTTACCTTTTGTAAGGTTTATAAGGATCTAACTAGCCTTAAGTTAATAACCATAGAGCTGTTAGCGCTTTATCGCCATTTTATTTAGTGTTAAAGCATCGTTTGTGCTGGAAATATGTGTCTGGGCCACTTCAAAACTCAGTCCCCTGGCAGCTATTTTTGTTTATAATTTATTTATAAAATTGGATCCATAAGTCTTAATATTATTCTAATTAATGTAAACATTCATTGAGAACTTAAAAAGTTGAATGCATTGAAATAGTTTGCTTCACTTTTCTCAATTTGATAAAAAAATCAGTCCCCTGTCATGTTACGCATGCAAAAGATACACAAATATCGAAAAACCAAAAATTAATTCGGCTGTTTATTTATTACGATTAAGCTGATAGTTTTGTAGTCCTTGTTAATTTTTTTTCTAATAAAATCAAAAAAAAATTTGGTCGGACAGTTTTGTACAGATTTAAGACGTCCTTACAGAGAATCACCCATATAACCTTTTTCAGTTTGTTATAACAAATAAGTTTGAGTATTTTAAAAAAAAATGCATCGGTTTTTTTTCAAAATTTGAAGTAGCATTTTTTGATAAATTCTGTCTGCAACAATTAATTTATTAAGAAATCTTCAAAAGTACCATGTTTCAGTTAACTTTAGTAGTAATTTTAAAAATTTATTATTTTCTATTTTTTATGTTAGGATTCATTAACAATACCTAAAAACAAAATAATCCTTATGAAAATTTGATTCAATGTTCCAAAAATGTCAAATTTCTAAAAATATGTAATTAATTTTTACAAACTTAAACTACACATAAATTATTTGTTAGTAATTTAATTTATGAAACTTGTTTCAGCTAATTAAAAATTTATTTTAGTCCAATAACTCCGTACTAGGATAATTTTCGGATTAAAATCCATATTTAGTCCGCTGAAAAAAACTTCAAATTTATTCCGCATGCAGAGTATTTTATTTATTTAAAATTCACTCCCAATTTTCTACAGTGTATTATAATTATCAGTAGTTTTTATTTTTTATTTACATTACTATTTTATTATTATTATTATTATTATTATTATGGGTGTTTATTTGAAAATGTATTTAATCACTTGTAAATACACTCCCATATTATTACAATGCATATATAAATATTAACTACAAAGAAGAATATACAATTTGATACAAAGTTATCTCAATCTCAATCTCTGGATTTATTCATTGATGCATTGTTAAGTAATTTATATTACAAAAACTTGTCTTTGCCAATGGCTTGTAACTTTTTAAAATGCACCGACTGATCTCTTATAGAGTCTTCGCGTCTTGCGTCTCGCATCTTGCGTCTTGCGTCTGGATCTTGAATCTCGAGATGTAATACAAATGCTCGATCCGGAGGTCAATGAAGCCAACTTGTACTGAAAAAAATTCATGAAAGAGAACAGGTAGTGAGAAAGATGAATGAGAATTGTCTGGTTCAATGCTCAATGCTTTCCGTTGATCGTTCATGGTTCAGTTTTGCTGGTAGTCACTCTGCTGCTGCTACTACTGCTCCTGCTGCTGTTGCTGCTGCTGCTGTATAATACTTAACTGCTATGACTAGTCTACCTGTCGAGCAAATGACCTTGTCCGTGACCAAATGAAATTGCTTTACGTCCGGTCTTTTCACTAACTCGCAATGACAGACACAATATTTTTTTTTCCTTTTTTTATTTCTTTATTTATCATAAAAAATTTAACCAATTGCATTCTTGTCACCGCTTAAGTTATGTTTCAATCATTGATGGTGAGAAAAAGTTTATTGAGGAATTTTATAGACAATATTTTATTTATTTCCCATTAAATTTGTATATAGAAGATACTTACATGTAATCAAATTAAAAAAAAAATTTTTATTTAATTTTTGTAATTTATTTAATAATTTGAGTATATAATAGTTCGAAAAATTAATGTCAGTTTCAAATTTTTACACAATTTTCTTCATTATATTTTTTAGTAATTTATTAAAAAGTTAATAATTCCGAAAAATATTTGATATTTTTATAAATAATTTAAGGATAAAATTTTCATGGAAAATTCGAAAAAAAATTTTTTATTAAAAATAGATATTTTGATTAAGCACTAAATAATATCTTACATGAAAAAAATTTTTTGATTTTTAAATTTCGATGATTCAAACTAGAGATATCGTGTACATCGAGACACCTTTTTTTGGAGGACCTCCTGGAGATCGCCTACAGAAGCTAGAAAAATCATTATCTGTAAAAAAAAAATACAACTTATTAATAAAGTTTAAAGTTACTTCCATATGTTGATTTTTATATTAATCAATTCAGTCACTCAATCATTTTTATATTATTCAAGAAGCCTTTTCAGAAAAATTTATTTTAAAAATCGCTTTTTTTGCCCTTATTCATCGAAAAAATAAAATTAACTTAATTTAAAAGAAAAATTTTTGTACTAAGAAATTTTTCTTGGTAAAAGCAAATTTCACTTAATTCAAAAATTTTTAACTTTTTAAGAGAAAGTTTTTTTCTCAATATTGAAAAAATATTTTTTTCCAAATCTCCCATTTTAACAAAAATAAAAATAACAATAATTATTATTATTATACACAAGTTTTCTGTTTATAAATCCAAAAAGCAAAAAATTGGTCACGCGCGTGCGAGATTCATAGTCTAGTGTCTCAAATTTCTTGGGGAGGTTTATGTATTATATATACAAAGATATTACAGAAAGCCCACGTGAGAACAGGAAATCCCACAAAAATTTACCCCACGCGCATATCTCTGCTCGTGTATTTGGTGTAGCTCAAATAAGAAACCGAGTAAAGAGAATTATGTGCATACACATATGTATTAAAAAGCAAGACTGAGACCAAGACCACGAAGTATGTAAGTAAGATCCAAGAATAAGTAGAAGGACTTATATTAAGACGTGGGAGAGTAACGAAGACCCTTTCACGAACGGTGTGTAGTTTCATCTACTTCCTGTCCATTAGAAAAAAGAACAAACTAGATAGACCTGTAGACCTGTACTGACTCAATCCAGAGTTTCACAAAAAATTTTCTGAATGATCTCTGGAATTTTTCATTTATTACATCTCGCTCTATTCAAAACGTTATTATTATGTACTATGTAGTATAAAGTATTCTGTGGACTAAAACCGCCGGCTTCCTGTTTCGGATATCGACAAAACACTAAATCCCAGCCAAACAATCTCCGGTCACGTATTAAGTTTGTATTTATGTTTAATTCCGAAAAATATTTCAGTTTTTTTTTTCACTCGTTTTTGAACTCTAGAATTTTTTAAAGGAAATGATGCCTCGTTTTTGTCCGTAGTATTTATTTGTTTGGTATATAAATTGTGATCAATAGGAAAACTCGAGGAAATGGTGCTATGAAATGAATTCTCGAAATTTTGTATCGAAAAATTTGAATTTAAATCCTGGGATTTGTATAGGGCTGTAAATATTATTCATTTTTCTTTGTAAAATTTGGCTATTTATAGATGTTTTATTGTCAATTTTTATCTCTTTAATGAAAATGTTGAATTTCAAGCAAATGAAAATTTTTTTCTTAAATTTTTATGAACAAATAAAATTTTCTAAAAAATATATACTAGTTAAATTCGCACACTCTTAAAAAAAAATTAAGGTTTTTTTAGAGAAAAAAAGTTTGAAACAAGAAAATTTGTTTTTTATTGAAAAAAAAAAAAAAATTTCGAATTAAGAAATTATTCTCATTGGGTTGAGTAAATTTTACTTAGTTCAAAAATCTTCTGCTTGATTTAAATGAATTTTTTTAAAATAATAATCTTGATTCAAGATTTAAATATATTAGAAAATACTATATAAGCAGAAAATTTCACAATTTACTCCGAACTTTTACTTGCATAAATTTGTAAAATCCTAAAATTCTTATTCGAACAATAACTTTCTAAAATTAGCATCAATAACAAATGTTCAACTTGTCAAGGTTAGATAATTCCCATGACACTGAAATTTAACACATCTCTAAAAATATACAATTTCCCAGGATCTCATACAGAAAAAAAAATTAACTTGAATCAAATGAAAAATTCTTGAACCAAGAAAATAATTTTGAAAGGATTAATTGTTTTGAATCAAGACGAAAAATTCTTGAATCAAGTTAAAATTTACTTAAATAAAAAAAAATTTCTTAGTTTAAAAAATAACAGTCTTTAAAATAAAGTTTTCCAAGACTGATGGTAAAACAATTTTTCCAAAATTCTATTTCTTCTTCTCTGACAACTTAAGTAATTACTAAAAATAATAATAATTATTATTAAATGTATTATAAATAAAAATGTTATTGAACTTGCTGTTCCAGGTACAAAAGAAATCGGAGGACTACCAATTCGAAACGAATTTTGCCCAATAGCGGGAAAATATTCCTTTAAATACAACGTTAACGATGGGACGGAAGATACCACCGAATGCAACACATTCTCATCGACGCTGGACAACTGCCCAGACGGCTCGGTATTCCGGCTGCAATTTAAAAAATGTGCCTTCGAAAATCACGGGACTAATTTAATCGTCGAAAATCGTACCACTGAAGTCGATAGAAGTAAGCATACAGTATAAAATAGAAAAGTTATCCTGAATCATACATCTATATACAAACATACACCGTTAATTAAATACATAAATATATTTTTATCATGATCTTTTTTTAATTATCACATTTTAATAGCAATTATCAGGTTACTGAGCTGTTAAATATGCATGTACCTTGTTCATCGCGGATCCCATCAGCAGTTTATTATCCAACTCCGTTACATATTTTTTATTCTTATTTATCATATTAATTACTGACTACATTCCAATGTCCCCTCGTTACAATTACTCTTCACCCTTTATTTTGTTTTTGAAATCAACCATCACCGACTGATACCACTCATATTTATTATTTGCATCCAAAGATTGTCATTATCATTATATCTTATGGTATTAAATTATACTTAATGTATGTTCCACAGATATTACATTCAATTGCTTGGGAAGTTGGCCAGCTGGACCTGATTATAGTAATAACACACGATTTATTGCACTTCTTGACACCCGTGACGGCGATGATTTTAGGCCCCGATATCGTTGTGGGGTACGTTTTTGTTTTAATTCGAATAATACACTCTATTTGAGATTCATTTCATTCTCAGAATTTAATAACAATAAAAGTTTATTGTTTTTCTTCTCAGGGTATATTCATGTACATCTGTATCTGTAAAAAGAATCTTTGTAATAAAATTGATTTTAATATTGGATTTATTGGCAATAAAGTTATAGCGTTATAACAGTTCTACTACTGGGAAACAAAACTGTTGGAAAATTTTATTTTTTTATTTGAAAAAAAAATTAAACTTCAGTTATTTCAATTTAGAATTTAAAAATAAAAATACATTTTTTTACGCAGTTTAATTAAATTGAACTTAAAATTATTTCTTCTGTATAATTTTTAATAAGAAATTTTTTTATCATTTTTGTATAAGTAGTTTAATTTAATTATTTTTACTTCTTCAGTTTATATAAATACATTTTTTAATAGATGAATTAATAAAAATCAAATAATAATTTATTTAATCTAATGAAATATCGTAGAATTGTGAAATAAATATTTTTACCCTGGTTGTGTTATTTTAGAATTTAAAAATAAGGATAAATTTTTCTTACGCAGCTTGATCAAGTTTAACTATAATTTATTTATTTTTTATAATTTCTAATAAAAAAACGGTTTATTTTTTGAAGTTGATATATATTAAACTGAAAAAATTTTTCATCATTTTTATAAATAGTCTAATTTAATCTTTATTTCTTCTTCAGTGATCGACTTTTTTATTTATGGTAAATAAAATATTTTTCACTTCATGAATTATGAAATAAAAAAATATTTTTCTTTATTGAACAGTCATAAAAATTGTTTTTTTAAGTTTCGATTTCAAGTAACATTATTAAGTTTTATTTTGAAATTTTAATCAGAAGTAATTAGACAAATAATAAAACAATTCTGAATTGTGATACTTCTTATTTATTTAAGAAGAATATATGTTTATATAAAAAATAAATAAATTGAAATTGAAAATGAATTGTTATACTTCATAAAGTCAACTAACTGATTAATTTTCAATCAATCTTGTAGATAAAAAAAAAAAACAATGAAATATCGAATAAATTAAGAGAAGAAATTCATCGACTATTCTGAACAAAGAAAATATAATAAAACTCACCAATTAATTAATTACTAAATGAATAAAATATTTCAGCTGTATCATTCGGATTCATCAACCAGCAGAATATACATGGCATTCAGTAGTGACTCTAGTTGTACCCAAAATCTTCATAACTCAACAAGCGGCTACGAGACTTTAATCCTCACACGAGCCCTTAATTTACAAAAAATGCCAGATTACGTCTCATCTCATTTAGCATCGTTAGTATCTCATATATAATTTACCTCTTTTCTTCTTTTATTTCTATAATTCTTGCCTTAATGAACACCATGTTGCTTTTTCTTATTTTCTAAGTATAAATCTAAAACAAAATAAAAAATAAGATTAAGATAAAATATATAAAGTATTATAATTTTATAATTGACATCTCGAAGATTAATGAGCAGTTAATAAATTAAACGATGATATAAAAATTTAAATATCAAAGATACTAAATGCTTTTTTTTTATTTGTCTCGAAACAGGTATCCGAAGTGGGTACACGGCGACTGGGAAGAGTCGGTTATCTCCAAAAGCACGATGTCCTTCAACGATCTGAATGGTTACCGTAGCTATACATTCGTCACTGTTGACTCCGATGACGACACTGATCGCTACATAGTCTACTCAAAAGATCACTGGTGAGCAATCATGATCAGATAAAGTCTTTTTAGATAAAATTACACTTAAACGGCAATGTTTCTTCGTTGATTTATTGCCATCGATAACACAACAAAATAAAAGTTTTATTTATTTTTTATTTTTTGATTTTTTTTTTTCAGTGAAAATCAGGCCTACGTTTGTATGATGATGAGACAGAGAAGTGAAAATGTTATGGAATTCAAGATCGGTAAGTCTCTATGACACTAATCGTACAGATATATAGTTTCTTCTTTTTCTAAGCTTTTTTTTGTTACTATTAACGACAGGAAATAAAAGTTATATTTCTTCTTTCTAGGAACTATTTCAAGTCCCGTGTACGCAAAATCATTGTGTGAAGATCCTACTTTAGATAGGTATGATAGTACTAGTCCATGGATGACCCAAGCTCGTAAGTATTTTATTTTTCGATTGTTAAATATTTTTCTTTATTTTTATGTATTTTTAATTTTAACGAACTAATGAATTTATTATTTTTATTCATATCATGCAGGATTGGAGCGAATTGTTGAATCTCCGTGCCCTATCACGGGTCATTATATAGGCAGAATACCAGATTTACCTGGCACGTGCGCCGAATTGAGTAGTAACTGCAATACTAAAGAAATTATGTACTACAAAGTTACCGACTGTGAATCTGGAGAGTTATATGAAGGTATATTCTTCTTTCTTATCTTTATTCATTTTTTAAGACTGTACAAACAGAATTTTAATTTATGAAAAAGATATTCTTAGTTTTAAGCGCATTTTTAGAATTTTTCTTACTCTTTATTTCTTAATTTTAATTACAGTGAGAGAATGAAAAAATGACACTGAAGTTGACAGACATTAGAAATATTTTTTTTTAATTTTATAGTAATGAAATTATAATGAAAGAAATTTGATAAAAAAATTCTACACGTGAAAATCAAAAAAAGATATTAGTGGGAATTTTTGGAAGTATTTTTAATATTGTAAATCGACGGTCTAATTAGCAATTCGGCTGCCCAATTTTAAAACACAGTGTAACTGCAAAATTTTTATACCTAATTTTTTTTAATATTGCTGCATTTTTTATAACTTTTAGACCTTAATTTCAAGTATTTTTTCTTAAAAATATTTATATTCAAGTATTTTCTATTCATAAATCAAATTTTTCATCAATTTGGCAGGCAAACTTGTTTTTAATAAGAAAAATTTTTTTTAATTTCTAAATGTTAGTTACTGTATTTTAAAATTGGGCAGCCGAATTCGTCTAACTTCTTATTTTTAAGAAGCTGATTTTTTAACATTTTGATGTAGCAATAGACCAATTATTATAAATTATCTGAATGATTCAAACCAAAATATTATACCTTTATTAGATATTAATCATATTAAATGATTTTTTAAAGTGATAATAAATTTTAAACTAATTGTTTTTTTCGTACAAATGGAAGAGTCTCTAAAATGGAATTAGATAATTTGCTAATTAGAACGTCGAAATAATTTGTTATAAGGATTCAAAAAATTGACAGCTGTTAGCTAACTTCAATATCACAATGAAAAATTATTTTCTAGATTAAGATTTTTTGGTTCAAGAATTTTTTTAAATGAATAATTTAGATTTATTAATTTTTTGATACAAAAATATAAAAAAGCTATATTTAAATTAAGTTAAAAATTTTTTTGATCAATATTTTCTTCAGAGAAGAAAATATATTTTTGATATTTATCAAGGATATTGTTTCTTATATCAAGAAAGTTCCTAATTTATTTAGTAAAGTATTTTTAAAAATAAAATTAAGTGTTTAAAAAATTCAATAATTAGAATAAATTTTCACATCAGAGCGTAGAAAAATTTTCACGGAATATTTTCATAGTTTTCATGGTTCAAAAAATCCAGCAAGAATCAAAACGGACCGAATGATTCATTTGATCTAATCTTAGTAATTTTAACCAATTGATTTGTTCCACTGGCGTGAAAAAAAAATCTTGAGAATACAAATTACATCCGATGACATGACTACATACATATTGACTTTATTTCTGGTCCATTGATTATCAATTTTTTACACTAAATATTTTTTGCCGTTGCGAAATAAGATAACTTAATCCGAAGATTTAGTTAAAATTTTTTTCAATATTTATAAAAGAAGTGTTCTCCTCATACTATAATAAAAAAAAATTTTTTTCAATTAAAGTCTAAAGAACCTTTGAATTAAAATCAACTTATTAATACTTACTTCAATATTATATTACAGAGCGCACATATTTATGCCTCGGACAATGGGAAGAAAGAGGAGTAATGTATACATACACAAAACGTAATGATACAACGAACGACGTGTATGCTCCTACTGAATGTTTCGTCGGTTTAATCGTTAACGACGACGAGATTTATATCAAAGAAGCCGGCGATCATTGTCTTCGTAATATAGATCCCCGAACAGAAGGAATGCGGCTCTACAGAAAAGGTATTCTTCGTTATATTATATCACTAACTGATTAACTGTTTACTGAAAAAAAAAAATACATACTAAGGTAAAAGCCCCCATTATTGACACTATATTGAATTTTTTTATCGTTTCAAATCAATATTATCAACTTTTTTTTTTAAAGGAGACCTTGATCATTGTTTTTACTTATAAAATTTAATTAATCAATAAATTTAATAATTATTATATCAACTTAAAACCAACAGATCGAATGTATATATTATTGACAGCGCAAAAATTCAAAGAGCTGATTATTGAAATACCATTGACCCTATTATTGACAGGTCTTTTATTAAAGTTAAATTTATATTGACAATAATCATTTTTACTTGCTAATGCAAAACAATCAATAATTTTTATTATTTTAAAATTCGTTTAAGACCTAGCTTTTCTATATTTTTTACCAGGTTTTTTTTTAGCAATCTTTTCTAGTCTCAAATACTTTGATTCTTATAAAATCACATGACAGTATCTAAATGACATTAAAGTTAGCAGTCACTTAAGAATTATTTTACTTTATTTAATAAAAAAAAATTATTTAAAAAAAGTTGCATTTTTCATTTTTTAAAATTTCTACATGTCAATTTTTTTTTGCCGTAATTTACTTATTTAAAAATTATTAAATATATGCTAAATTAATTTTCATGTTAGTTGACGCAAATTAATTTTTGTGTCCCCATCATTGACATCCGCTATTTTAAAATTAATCTTAACTCGATAAAGCATAAATAAATGATTATATGGTTATTTAGACTATAAATAATTTTAAACAATGCAATTGCATAAAAAAAAACATTGAAAAATCTGGATTTAAAAATAAGGTCTTTCTTAACAATATTGTTAAGAAATTTAAAGCGTATAAGCAGTTTTGGCCTACTTGAAAAAATGAAATTTTTTTGCAGTAAATAGTTTATACCTTGGAATTAAATTTTACTATTTTTTAATTTTAAAAATATGTAAGATTATCATGAAATATCAACAATTGTGATTATTAACAGATTGTAATAATGAAATAATAAAATTAAATAGGGTGTCAATAATAGGGGCTTTTACCTTATGCGACTGCCAAGATTTACAGATTATGAATAAGAAAATTTTGGTTTAATGATTTTTTCATATTTATAATTATACTGCACATAGTTATGATACTTTTTAAATAAATTAAAAAAATAATAGTGCTATCACAGGATTAATTACAATTAATTTAATGGACAAATGTGACCGAACAAATTTCGGCTGCCCTATTTTAAAATACAGTAACTGCAAAATTTTTATACCTGATTTTTTTTTTAGTATTGCTGCATTTCTTACAACTTTTAGACTTTAATTTCAAGTATTTTTTCTTAAAAATATTCATATTCAAGTATTTTCTATTCATAAATCAAATTTTTTATCAATTAGGCGCGCAAACTTTTTTTTAATAAGAAAAATTAAAAAAAAAAATCTTAAAATTGTTTGTTACTGTGTTTTAAAATTAGGCATCCGATTTATAGAACCAAAAAATTATTAAAAACTTAATCAAAAAAATTGGCTATCACTGAAAAATATATAAAACCGTGAAAAGGCGCGAATTCAGGTCCAAGACCTTTCGTATGATACTAAATTTAATTTAAAAAACTTATTTTATTATATATATATATATATGCCGAGGACAAAATTATCCTTATTTCTTTAATAATATGTATAATAACTAATTAATTAATTAACAATTAAATTATTTCACAGGACAATGCTACGGTAACTCGCCTAGCCCCGCACCAACGCCATTGAAGCCAAATCCGCATGACCCAATAATGCGAATAACGACACATTCCATGCCGGGTAATGCTTTGGCACCCACCAAGAAAACACCAAAACTTATTTCAGCTTCGGCGTCATTGACTCAACACTCTTTAAACATTTTTATCTATATTACAATTTATATTTTTTATTTTGAGTTTACGCACAACTAACAGATTTATTATATTTTTTAGATTCATACAAATATAATGAATAAGTCTGTAAATTATACGTGATGTAGAAATGCAAAGAAATATTATATATTTTGATATATTTATAAGATTTGTAGTATAAAAAATTGTAGAAAACTTATTTGCTTACGTCTTATTTTGACGTAGACGATAATTATATTATTTAATTTAAAAATAATTATAATTTAAGTATTTAATTTAATTAATTTTTTTAACTATGTACAATGTATAAAATAATTGATTTCATGGAAATCATGAGTCATTAATATTTATTTTTTATCTAACGGCAGTTTGATATACGAATATCTATTTTATAAATGCACATTGCTTTTGTACTATAAGACTATTTAAAATAATAATTTTGAAATTAATAATTATATATAAATATACAAATAGTTTTTCACAAAGAATGATAGTTGAAGCAATAAATATTTTATTAGAGACACAGACTAAAAAATAATGAATATAAAAATAACTGCCTTGTTACGATATTTAAAGTTAAGAGCTTGTAAATATATTTAATCATAAATTTGTTATTGTATTTTAGTTTTATATAAAAAAATATATTGTGATTGTGTGAATATTTTTTAATGAGCGCGTGAATAAAGTGAAAATTATATGAGAGTACTAAACTGGTTTGCCAGGTGCATTTTGTAATTAAAATTAAAATAAATATAGGTTGTAATATGAAGTATAAATTTTTTTACTTTTGATAGTTTTTTTTTCTTTATTCACTAATATGGCAAACAAATATATATATATATATATAAATAAAAAATAGATATAAAAATAACAAAATTACGGAAAAATTAAAACTAACTTTATAATACATTACATAGCAATTGATATTTAAACATATCTTAAAGAATTTCATTTAACTTTTTAGTTTAACCTATCACAACTATTTAAATGCTTAACAGTAGTAGCTTCTTTTAACTTATGATAAAATTTATTTTATAAATATATTTGTTCATTTCATAAAGGCTAGTTTAATAATATTTTGTTTGATCCTTTCTTGATCAGTTCTATGGTCGGTATTAATATAAAAGTTACGCGATCGTGCATCTTTTATCAGCGCACCCCATGTTTCATCTTTCTGCAAAATAAAAAATTTTTAATAAGCATTTTATAAATCAATATTTCAAAAAATTATTAACACTTCTTTTTCAATTAAATTCTACTGTAAATTCAATTCTCAAAAATAAAAATTACTTTAAAATACTCGGTAATAGGAAAAAATAGAACCAGAAAAAATTTTAAACTTATGAAAAATTTATATTATTTCATTAAAATTATTATAAAATAAAAATTATAATAATCGCTCCATTGTATCACACCCACAATTTTTCTGAAAAACAAGCATCCCCAGAATGATCGCTCCATTTTTTGTTACAAAAAAAAATATTATTTATTTTTATTTATAATAATTTTAATGAAATAATATCAATTTTCATAACTTAAATTTTTCCAAGTCTATTTTTTCCGGGATTTAAAATACACTGAGAGAAAAAATTTCTTTTGAAAAAATTTAGCAATTTTTTGTTGAAGAATTTTTTTTTTGATTTGGAAAAAAAAAATTTCAGATAAACTTGCGAATTTTAATCCAAAATTGTTTTTTTCTAAATTCAGAAAACTTTTTTTCAACAAGAAGATTACTGTGAGAAAATTTTTTATTTCTTCAGTTAAGAAATAAAAATTTTCGACAAATTAATTTCTTAGTACAACACTGCTCATTTTAAAAAAAAAAAAACTTTTTCTTTAAACATGTTGTAGATAATAAAAGACAAAAAATAATTTGAAACTTACTTCAAATGTTTTGAAATTCCCACAAAGAAACAGCGAATGTTTAGCACGCGTCAATGCAACACAAAGTCGCTGCCTGTCGGTCAAAAATCCAATTCCGTTGCTCCTAACACACGACATAATAATAATTTCCCTTTCTTGTCCTTGGAAGCCATCGACAGTGCTTACTTGTCTTATAAATCTATTTTTAATATTATCAGGTACTGAGGTAAATCTGCAGCAAACAAAAATTATATTAAATTAATAAAAAAAAAAGTAAAATATATTAATTAATAAAAAAAAAATACTAACTTTTCCTCCATCTTTCGTTGAATTATTTTCCTTTGGTCCTGGTATGGCGTAATAACCCCAATTCGAATAACTCCTTCCACCTTGTCCAAGTTGGCACCAGTGACAATAGCGTGGATCAGGTTAACTACATAAGTAGCCTCGTCCGAATTGGAGAACTGATTATTGTCCTGAACAGACGTCAGGTTGAAAACTTTGTACGGTGAGTAAGGCCACACTATTGGCTTAACGGATGATTGCAGCTGATTGCTATAGAAGAATCTGTTCGGCCAGTAAACAATCGGATGGGCCATTCGATACTGAGTGTTCAGCGATATAATAGGGTTCTCCAATTCACTCATAAATTTCTCATGAATTCTCGAAAACAAAGATTTGTCATAATTAAGCTCCTTAGCTCTGGAAGACAAAACAGTTGCCGGCAACTGCTGTGGATCTCCAACAAGGACCAACTTGAGAACACCAAGCATCAGCGGAATTAAAGTCTCCGGCTCGGTACTCTGCGTCGCTTCATCAACAATACAGACACTTATCTTCTTGGAACTTCTGTTTCCAAACGCCAACTCCATTGGTTGAGTATAACAAGACGACAATGTGCAAGTAATAATATCCGCTGTGGACAAAAGTTTGTTCTCCAAGTACGCCCGCTTTCCGCTGTGCAGATGTCTCACCTGCTTGGAAGCTTGCAACAATGCAAGTTGATTAGTCCAATCTTCCAATCTCTTCTTCAACTTTATTCTATCACCCTCCGGAATTGGCTGCGTAAAACTTCCCATAGTAGCTTTTAATTCTATAATATGTTGCTGAAGTCGATTTATCTCGTTGTCAGCACTAACGTCACCGGGTCCTTTAGCTGCCCAAGCACGATCAACGAGTTCAGACAGCGAGATATCCTTGACCCGAGGATGCATCATTTTAGTGTTGCCGACTCTCACCAGCCTGAACAAATCACGGGAGTTTTCTCTTTGGAATTTAGCTCTAATCTCCAAAAGTCTCATTGTTATTTCATCAACAGCCGCGTTGGATGGCGCGCAGACAAGAATCCTTCGTCTGTCATTATTTGCGTATCGATTTTGTCCGTACATAATTTCAGTGATGATATTGACGATAACTCTTGACTTTCCGGTTCCTGGTGGGCCTTCGACCAAACAAATCTTAGGTTTTTTTTCAAGAACAGCATTAGTTACAGACAAAACTGCCTCCATTTGTCTTTCATTTAATGCATCACCTGTAGCGAACTTGTAATTATCGAATTTGGTAACTTTCGTTAACTCGTAGCCTTCTTTTTTGACATCTGGCTGAATAATATGATGAAGAAGCGGATTAGAAGGAAGATGTAAAATAGCTTGGACCATTCTCAGATTTGGACGCATGTAGAATCTGGTTTTCATTCTAAGAACTCGGTTGAACTTGATGTTCAAAGGTAAAGACTTGGTTGACATAGTCAAAGTTACAACTGCATAAGGGTTTGGTACTGTGTTTTGCAAGTACTTATTGTAGGGCGTGCTAGATGGTGTTATCACAGTTTTCTGATAGTCTTTTACGTAAGCAAAAATAGGTCGAAAGTGAATCTCGTTCTCGACGACGATTGGCAATTCCAGCATAACCAGTTCTCCAGGAGTCGCATGCTGCCGCGAATCAATTTGTGATTTACTACACAAAATGTCGGCTGTGAATACTGTAAGCGTGTGATTGGTCGAGCGGATAGGAGTTTGAGTAATCGAGTTTTGCCCGATCACCGCGTGCATATTCCGACGTGCTTTCATGAATTCCCGGTCGTTAGATTCCCTGACGATACCGGCCCACATCTCGAGCATCATCAGGTCGGCCATAATGCTATAATAATCGCTGTAATTAGCGTAAGAAGACAAGTGAGGCATTTGTCCTGCTGGGACAATCGGTAAGTTTCTCTGGGACCTTTGATCGTAGGCTTCTGGGTCCAGCCATTGCGGGTTCCAGTCAAAAACCCTTAGAAGAAATTCATCGAGCTGCGGACCTGAAATCCGTCTTGGCTCGTTGTATATATTTGTAACAAGATGCCTGGAAGTCAACGCGTTCTGATGAACAGGCGCTGGAGCAGAAGGTGGTGCTGGTAGTGCTTTCGGAGTTGCGATAGTCGACAAATTCGGTAAGTACGTTGATGGATCACCCGGCAGCGTGTTTTGGATGGCTGCGGTCTTTGGCATAGCAGCGTCTTTTTGAATACATTTTCGGATCAATTTATTCCCTGGTAAGATGTCGATCAAGTGAACTACCGGAGGCGTTGTTGCAAATCTTATTCTCTTTTTCGGCTTACCAATTTGTGGAAGATTATTACAAGAAATACCATTTGGTAAGTAATTGGCTTGTCCTCTTTCTGGTGCTTTCTTTAAAATACTACGAATTAGCCGGCTTGGTTGATGGAAAGGCAAATTAGATGGACGAGAAGCTGCTGGTGGTCTAGAGAAGGGTTGGTTAACTTGTGGAGTAAAAGGCTTTGGAGAAACCTTTCTAATTTGCCGAGAATAATTGATCTTTGGTGGTGAGTAGTCATCAGGACTTGAGCTAGCAGATCTTCCATTGCTAGTTGTTGGAGTGTCAATGTAATCCATTAAAGTATCTTCCATGTCGATGTCATCGTTCAAACCTGGATCCGTAATAGCATTCATATCGTGACTGCTGTCTGAATCGGTGTCTTTGTCTTCCTGCGGTGGAGGCTCGGGGTATCCAGGAACAGAATTTGTAGAAATAACATCGGAAAGATCGTCTACAGTCGTTGAATTAGCATTTATATGATTATTTTTAATACCTTCGACATGCAAATCGAAAGTCGGGCCATTGTTTATCTTCACTGGTTCTTTTTTAGCAGCATCTTCGTCTTTTGAATCATCGAGATTTACCCCCTCTGGGACAAG